TTTTTTTTTTTTTGTTTTTTGTTGTTGTTGTTGTTTTTGTTTTTTGTTTTTGCTGTTATTGTTTTTGTTCTATTTACATCTACCGCCTACTCATCCTACCGTTGTATCGATTCTAGGAGCTTCGTGACGAAAACGACGAACTTCGTCTTCAAGTCGAGGGTCTCATAAGCCAAGTCAATACTTCGGTCAAGCGTCGACCGAGTCATCGGAAACGACAGAGTGGCGAAAAAGGAGTACATAGAGTTGGCTCAGTTCTTTCCGACTACACGAAGCCCATGGTCATTCCCCGAAGCAAAGAAGGTGGCCATTCAACTGAGGAATCAGAAGAGGATCAAGTTGATGGCGGTACGGGTGTGCCTGTTAGAATGAGAGGTGATGGAGGGTCGAATGAGGACGGGGGTAAGCATGGAAAAGTTTGGCACACGCGCATAGAGTTATGTATCCAGATTATTATCTGTAGAAGTCTATTTGTTTGGCTTTTTGTTTGTCTAGCTTTTTTGATACCAATTTGTCTGTGTCTATGATTAGACTTATATGGAATTTTAAAACGCAAAAAAAAAATCAAAATCAACTCTTCAGTACGTTTCTTTACTTTTGAGAGATATTTTATAGAAAGAAAATGCAAATTTTAGCATAATGTTCATTAAAATATTGATAGTAAGATAAGTAAGTTTTTATTAATAAGATAGTCTAAATAGACTGGTGCCCTAAAGTAGAGAAAAAGAAAATTATAAATTCAAATGTATAGTATTTTGATAAGATCAATTATTTCTCAATCGTCACGGTTTTCTTTGTTATTCACAAGGCTTTATTTTTGTTATAACCCTCATTATAAATGCGAGGTCAATATATAGTTATTAACCCGGTTAATAACTATATATCGACCGTTCGCATTTATAGTGAGCAACATTTGATAGAAAACCTTCTCAATTGATAAATGAAATACTTAATTACCTTGAACGTCGGCAATAAGCCTATACATCCCTCGGGCCTGCGACCCTCGGGATGTATATGGCTTATTGCCTCCGTTCTCGGTAATTAACTCTAACATGGAGTGCTTACCATATTTTCGTGAAAAAGTAGATTAACAAAGTTGTACGAAGTAGTGGAAAGTCGTGTAGATCTACGGTCTACTGAGGTCTGCTGAACTTATAACTTTGTGTAATTTCTTACAACGTTTTTCGCTGATATATGGTATGTACTCTAGTAGCCAAAGAAAAACTACTTAGACTAGGAACATTTACCCTTTACGGTATATTTTAATAATTCAGGCGTTTGCTTAGTGTTAATGGTTATCACTTTATTTACGCTTGGCTTAGTATTTATTTAGGAGGTTATATCGTGCCTATGCTATTTGATGCTCCATGCTTAGCCCTTATGAAATCATTCGACCAGTCTACCTGCATGAACTGGACATCGCTTATATTTTGATGTTTATTTCTTTGCTTTTGCTACTAAGCACCAGTTTAAACCTTACTATTTATCTTCTTAACTTGGCACTAAGGTTTTTCTGTAGTTAGTGTTCAGTTTTGTATGCATGTTTTACCTATCCTACTATTCTACCAGATCTTCTCAACTTGGCACAGTTTATCTGTAGTTTGTGTTCAGTTTTGTATGCATGTTTTACCTATCCTACTATTCTACCAGATCTTCTCAACTTGGCACAGTTTTTCTGTAGTTTGTGTTCAGTTTTGTATGCATGTTTTACCTATCCTACTATTCTACCAGATCTTCTCAACTTGGCACAGTTTTTCTGTAGTTAGTGTTTAGTTTTGTATGCATGTTTTGTTGGCTTTACCTATCCTACTATTCTACAAGGTCTTCTCGACTTGGCACTAAGTTTTTTCTGTAGTTAGTTTTCAGTTTTGTATGCATGTTTTATTGACTTTATCTATCCTACTATTCTATAAGATCTTCTCAACTTGGCACTAAGTTTTTTCTGTAGTTAGTGTTCAGTGTTGTGGGCATGTTTTGTTGCTTTATCTGTCCTCTTATGCTACTAGATACAGCACGATACAATGAGTATTTGCTGCACTTCACTTGTTATCTAATTCCTCTCGAGCCAGTGTGAACGAACTTTTGCCTTAGAAGCCTCTAATGAAGATTGCAATCAACATCCATACTTTGCAAGGAATATATGTTGGGGACTTCTCGATGTCTTCCAGCTTTGTCTAAGGAGTCTATCCTGTAAAGTTTATTGTTAGTGACCATGAGCATCTTATGACCTAATCTTTGTTTTCTTAGTTTGAAAAGTTTCGAGTTTCAAATCTTTAATAATCTACGAAATCTTGGTTTTCAAAATGTATGGATATTATGAACAAACGGTCACTTTTTTTCTTCCCTGTGAGTGCACGCATGTCTGCACTTTTCACTTTCTTACAGTTTCTGGATTGCATGAGTTCCAAAGAATGTGTGACATCGCATGCCAAACCTAATACACATTACTTCATGTGTTCTCTGTAAGGCATGCTGATCTCACAAGAGGTCCAAAGCTCCTAAGGACTCACTCCAGACATTTATATTTTATCACGATCTCACTTTTCCTGGCATGAGCACTGGGTTTGCACTTTTCGGCTCTACAGTAATTCTGTCCATATTTTGCACAGACGGACGCGGAGATAGTCGATTATCTCTTTCATCTGAGAAGCATGAGCACGTCAYCTCGTTTCCTTTTTTCCTATTTCTCATTTTTCTTATCTTCTATATCATTCTTGTTCAATTATCTCAAAGGCGAAGATACTGATGATGATGTATCTATTCCTTGGTCGGTGGAACGTGAGTATACTCCTGCAGGTTTCTGTACAACTAACGTCCTCTTTATACAAAGATTCATTGTTATCAGCAGTTCTTTGCTGATTCCATCAACTGACCTACTTCCACTCTGCTTCACTAACGACTGTTTCAATTTGTGTACTCATCCATTAAAAACTACAATGTTTCCAGCTTTACTTCTGTGTGTCTGTACTCAGGATCTTTGCTAATTAACTCGCTGTAAATGTAGCAAATAATTCTCATTGTTTGCTCCTGTAAAAAGTATCGTATATTTAACATATATGTATCACCGACATACCCATAGTAAAGACAACATTTGACTGGGACGTCTACGTATAATCATGACCACATCATGACCACGACATTAAAAAGTAAGTTAGCATTCTTATGTTTGATTTACTATTTGTTTTACAGAAGATGTTGCTGAAAAACAAAGCCATATTGGTAAGTTAGATCGTTTTAAATGACTGGGTTTTGCACGCTTCCACAAAATTGCATTGTGTACCCAACTTACTTCTGTCACTATTGTGATGTTCATAGCATCTCTGCGATGTGTGGGTAGTGTTCCTAAACTGATGTAACCATCCCCTTTGAAAACTCTGTAGCCACTGAAAGCCGCACCTTGCATCCATGGATGCCTAAGGCCCACTCACTCCACTCGTTTCCTGATATTTTTGAAAACGTATTTTTATTTGRGAATTGGCCTTCCGTCTGCACATATTCGGAAACTGTTCGAAAACAGAAACGTGTGGACGGGCGAAATTGGTTCGAAAACACCCTGTGTAAAAGCGCTTTTTTTCTTTTTGAAAACGTAATAAAAAAATCCGCTTTCAAAAATACTTGTGTGCGGAGCCTTAAGATTATTGGTCCAGGATACATTTTGCTTGAGCGACACTGAGAGAATTGTTCTTAATTAAACAAAAGAAGGTGAGAAATTCGGGATAAAATCGCATGCGCAGTGGAATCGATTCTTAAACTATGAAAAGGCTTATTGTGCATGTCATTTTAGAAACCATCAAAAAGCTTGAAGAAGAACTGAAAGAAAAGGAAGCGTCCATTAGTGAACTTCAGAACATCACAACCGAAGAAAAACTTGCTTTKGAGAAAAAGATAAAAGAGCTAAGTGAAGATATTTCAAAAAATGAAACCTCCTTGAAAGAAAAGGATGTCAGCATCTGCAACCTTAAAAACGAGATAGAAACACTTCGAAGCTCACTTGATTCTAAAGAAGAAGAAATGGAGAAGAGATACGAAACAGAGCTTGCTAACTTGACCACTCAGTTTACGGGTGAAATGGAGCAACTTCAACAAGCCTTGGTCAAAGAAAAAGACGAATTAGAAAAAGATTATCAAGAAAGGATGAAAGATATGGCAAATTCTTTCAACTCTGAGAAGAACAATCTCTCTGAAGATCTCGAAGGTAGTTTTAATCAAATGAAAGAAATGTTAATAAACGAGTACGAGAGAGAAAAGTCCGAACTCGAAGAAGACCATAAAGGGGAGAAAGCGATGCTTGAAAAATTACACTTGGCTGAGCTGGAGACGGCGAAGGAAAAGTTTGACGAAGAGAAAACCATGCTTATCGAAAAAATACAAGTTTTAGAAGAGGAAAAAACCGAGGCGGAGTTAAGTTTTGCCAACGAAAAAGCTGCAATGGAGCAGCAGTTTAGAATCGACAAAGCAGAGCTTGAGTTAAGCTCTAGTACTTCAAAAGCAGAGTTTAATAAAAATCAGCGCGATTGGGCAAATTTGAGGATAGAACTAGAGAAAGGACATAAAGAACAGATTCAAGCTCTTGAGGCTGAATTTAAGAGAAAAAATTCGAAAACTGAACAAGAGACTGATAATCGAATATGGGAGTTGAACCAGGAACATGCGAAAGAAGTAGCGAGCTTAAAACAGAACTTTGAACAGCTTAAGGCTGAGTTGGAGCAGAAGTATTCACGCCAAGTTGCCGAAATGCGGGAATCGTTCGCTCGCGAAAAGAACCAAATGGAGCAGAAGTTCAATCGAGAGCAAGCCGAACTGCGCGATATGTTAGAGAAAGAATTCAGTCATAACTTAGCGGAACAGGAGGCAGAACTTAAGAAAGAGTTCTTACAGGAATCTTCTGGCAACGAAAAGAACTTTCTAGAAGAGAAATATAGATTAGAAGAAGAATACCAGGGTAGGTGCGCAGCCAATGAGATGGCGTTCCAGAAATGGAAGTCAGAAATCGAAGAGCATTTCACTGAAGAAAAAGCTAAGTTACTTCAGAACTCAGCGCGCGAAAAATCTGAGATAGAAAATAGCTACAAAAATGAAATAACTGAACTACGGCAAGCGTTTTCGAAAGGTGAAACTGGTCTCAAAGGACAGCTCAAGGAAGACTTTTATCAAATACTCGCAAGGCATAAAGCGGATTTAGAGAAGAGCTACGCAAAAGAGAAAGCCCAACTCGAAGAAAGCTTCTTCCGAGAGAAGGCTGAACTCCAGCGAAGCGCGCTGGTCGAATCGAAAGAAATACGCGATAGTTACGCGCGCGAAAAGACAGAGCTCGAAGAAAGTTATAAGAAAAAAATCAAAGAACTGCACGAGAATTTCGAAAAAGAGAAAAATGAAATCGAAAATGAACGATTAAAAGAAAAAGAAGAAATCCGCTCCGAACTAGAGGCAGAATTCACTTACAAGATTAAATCAGATCACGAACTCCTAGAAGAAACAGTCCAACATTTACAAGAGGAAATAAATTACCTCAAAGATCAAAAGAAAGAACTTGAAACTAAAGTTCAAAGTCTTGAACTCAAAACCATGGGGCGAGATTCTCTAGATATTCGAGTCGCGCGCGAAAAAATCAGTGATCTGGAACGTAAGGTGGATACGCTTTCGAAGGGCAAGACGAAGCTCATGGCTGAGAGCAGCGAACTCAAACTTAAGATCGATGAATTGCAAAAGGAGAACTCGGCGTTGACTGAAAGTGCCAAAGAAAAGCAGAGAAAGCTCTTGAAGGCTGAAGAGGTATGTGATCTCTTTTTATTTTATTATTCATTTCATGTAGCGTTAAGAATTAGTAGTTAAGTGTAAGGTTGTGCCAGTAGCATGAATAGAGTAGAAAGAAAAACAAGAACAAACAAATGTAGTTTTTGTAAGTCTCTACGAAAATGGTGCTTTTATTTTATGGTACGACATGAACGTCCTTGCATCTTAGTAAAAGTAACTAGATAACATGTCAGATCATACGTCCAGACGTCTCTCGATTATAATGCACCAACAATTTCATTGTATTGGTGTGGATGTCGCAGAAACATAAATACTACAGTGATACTAACCTTTGTTAAGCGGGCACCCTTTATTCTACGGACACTACTTCGCATAATGACCGAAAGTTTCTTCCCATATTTACTGTAAAACGAACCTCTATAAACCGTACAACCGAGCAAGGTCCCGAGGTGTCCGCTTAACAAAGGAAACACTGTATTAGCAATATGTTAATCACAGGTAGATTATGAAGTGACGAGAAATATCTGATAAGTATACCAGAGTTATATAGGTTCATCTAGTAAATTGATTATTTAGTAGAAATACGAAATATGTACGTCTCAGTGTAAGTAGGTATGTTATTTGGTAGGTTTTAGTAGGTCTGAGAAATCCACAGGTACGCATGCCATTTGTTGAAGTGTTTTCACTGTTTCGTGTAAAAAGGTCGAAAATGAATCCCTTGAAGAAGATATTGGGAAACAAAATAAACGAGTTGCCGACCTTGAAGCAGAAATTGAAGACCTAAGAAAAAAATACCACGAGTTAGAGGACAATTTTGACCGCCAAACTGCAGAGAAGAAGCAGCTGTTAGAAAAACTCAAGGAGAAAGAAAACCAGATCTCTGGGTTGGCATCCGCTGAAACCGAGCTTTCAAGCATCATGATCAAAAACCAAGAGATAGAGACGCTTCTGCGTACGCGTGATTCAGAGAACGAGGAGTTACAATCCCGTCTCCAGGAACAGAATATCGAACTGGAAGCCGAGTTGACAGACCTGCAGAAAGAGCTGAAAATGGAGATCGTCAAGAGCCAAGGTTACGAGACATTGTTAGATGTACGAGAAAATGAGTACCGCGATCTTGAAGAGCGCCTTAAAGAAAAGATGGCTGAAAATACGCAACTCGAAGAACAAGTTAAACAACTGACTGAAACGGTTGACCGATTACAAAATGTCGAGCTTACTGAACTACACGAAAAGTTTCAAGAACAGCTATCATTGAATAGCAGTCGAGAACTACAATGCAGTGAACTTGAGGAAAGTCTAAAAGAACAGTCGACTAACAACAGTGAGTTGGAAGCAATTATTGAAGATCAGAAAAAGAACTTAGAAGAATTACAAAACTCGACGATTAAAAGTCTGCAGAAAGAATGTGAAGATTGGCGCATGCGCTCTTCAGAATTGCAAGCAGAAATTCGTCAGCTGACCTCAAAGATTGCAGACGTTGAAAGTGTCCAAATTCGGGAGCTTGAAATCCAGCTTGAACAAAAAGATGTGAGGAATGCCGAGCTTGAGGTGAAACTGAGAGAACTTACTGGTCAGTTCCAAGATACAGAAAGCCAGAAAATAACAGACTTGCGTCAGAGACTAGAGGAGAGAGATACCCTGATAACGCAGCTAGAATTAGAAATGGAGAGACTTAATCTCGATAAGAAAAATATTGAAAAATCACGATTGGGAGAGCTCGAAGCCAAGTTTGCAGCTAAAGTGGCACATAACGAAGAACTCCAAAAAGAAGTTGAAATTCTTATCAAGAAGTTAACAGACGTTGAAAACAATCAGGTCAGAGAGCTGAGGGAATGGGTACGAGAAAAAGAAGAACACAATGTGCGCCTGCAGCAACAAGTAACACAGCTGACCAAACAGATTGCAGGCATGGAAGATATTCGACGAACTCACCTTGAGGCTAAAAAGRTTTTTATTTTTTATTTTCATTTCTTTGACGCGCCAAGAAATCCTTGCCTGTTTTCAAAAGTGATTCCTCTAAAATCTAGTTGTATTTCTTACTAATGTCAGACTGGCCTAAAAATTGCGATGGTTAATAAACCCTTGTAATAACCTTGGCTAATAAAGTGTGCTAATCAATAAATGAGAGCTTCGTAGAGCAGTTTAGTACAGTTTTGTTTAAGAAGTATAGCTTTATGACCGAGAGGAAAAAGGCTCTTAGAGTTTTAACTGTTAGGACACTAAACTACAGAGTCACAGTCAACAGAGTTTTGGCCTTCTCCATTATAATGGATAAATGCATAAGATGATAATGTATCCCTTATAACCTTTTAAATAAAAGAGGTATTTTKAACCATAACACTTAGATGAATAATTTAATTATGGTGTAATCGTTTAGTCGATAAAGTTAGATTTGTTGCTAGTCTATTGAATAGTATTTACTAATATTACTAACGACAAGTCTTGATGTAATARTATTAATACTTATGGTGTTTATAATAACAATGAGGATGTGGATAATGGTACTACTACTGCTACTAATTATTATTATTAATATTATAAAAGTAATCATAAATATCAAAATAACTAATATAATTCTAATACCTTAATACTTGAAGGCCAAGTCTGACGAACCTCACTGCACTACTCTCTCACTGTTAACTTGTCACGTGACCTACCTTCTTGTAACGTCTACAAATGTTTTGAAATATGTTGTGCAGGGCCTGGTTTTACCAAGGATGGATAGTGCTATCCTACGGACAAATCTTATCCAGTGGATAAAGTTATTGGATAATAGCACCGTCTTATCCACTCGATAAGGATTTATTCGTTTAATAGCGCTATCCACTCTTCGTACATCCGGGCTCAGATGTGTATCGTGCCACAATCACACAGTAAACATACTTTTATTCTAAATATCGTTTCATAAGAATACTTGAATTATTATTAAATGAACATTGAATGAACATTAGAAACGCCTTAAAATATTACAAATTTGTGAAATCCAGTCTTGCTGTTTGTTTGAATATAGTAATAACGTGAACGAAATAAAAACCTTGACTTTCATTGCGGTAATCAAATGATAAATAATGAGATTAATGTCAGCTCGGCAAGTTACAACACTCTTGAATATAAACTTAGAAATAATAAAAATATTCTAAAATAATTAAGAGATAATTGTGTCATAACCATTGAATGTATAAATAAATAGGGAGTCGTTTGGTCAGTCTTCCGTTAGGAAAATAAACGAATGTAAAGCCACATAGCAAGCAACATGCCTCCTACCATGAAAAGACCTAAACTGGAAATGGAATGGAATTAAGTCCGTCGCGGTGCGCTCCATTCGTTGACTGGTCTAACTGAGAAAAGTTCAATTAAATCAAACTATATCTATCACATGAAATCCTAGCATCCTACGCAGTCATAAAATCCTAGCTAAATATTAGTTTTTAAAGGAAATGTTAATCTAGCTACGAAATAAATTATCATAAAATATACTCAGGATATAAAAAGTATGCATTATAGTTTTAGTGTATCTAAAGTTTAATTCACTATAATATCATAAAATATCTTTCCCCTTTAAAATCATACGAATTAACAGGAAGTAATATATATGAAAATATATAAAGCTCTAAAGAAATACTTTGCGGACACATAGAGTGAGAACAAAGTAACTGAACTTATGTCCAACTTTAACCAATCAGGAGCAAGCAGCGAAGCCTTGATATCTTGACAGTGACTTTACTCTCTCCTGATTGGCTAACGTTTCTTTTTTATCTTAAATATTGTTCAATTAGTCCCGGTCAGTGAGTCCGCAAAGTGAACCAATGACATGTTGATGTAAGATACTCAATGTTGTGTTACATGTGTGTCATTTTGTCACGTAATCAGTTAATTTAACGACCCTATAATAGCAAGGCTTGCTTTGTGATCATTCCCAAGAAAAATCCCTATGTTGAAAAAGATAGATTTATCCTCCTTTTTGGTTAACGCTTTAATTGTCTTCCTCTAATCAGACCAAAACCGCGCTTCTTTCACTGGAGAGAAAACTAGATGATGTTAACAACCAGAAACAGATTCTTGAAAGACGAATAAGACAAAAGGATGTGGAATGTAACGAGCTAAACGATGAGGTCTACGCACTGAAGGAAAAACTGGACAACATCGATAACTCGTACAAGAGAGAAATTGAAATTGAAAAACAAAAGGTAAGTCGCCGAAAAGACGAGGAATCTTTCAGCTCGCAAAAATGAGCATCAGTATATATTTATGCGTCCAATGAAGTAGAAAAAAAATTTTGGGGCAGGTTTTGTACTGTAAGAGTATGCGTTGGTAGCACCTTTTTGGTGAAAAAATCTGCAAATTGTTTGTTTTCTCGTATGTTTATGGCCTCCAAACAGGAAGGGAAAAATAAGGGTCTTTCTTAGTCAAATTTTATTTTCAAACTCAAACATGTGCSAAAAAGTGGTTTTCAGTAGCGACGCATGCGCAAGAATCGAAGTTTTCAATTGAAAATTCAATTCGATCTAGTATCGAACGCTTTAGACAACAGTTTCCGGCTCTGCACACTTGGCAAACATTTCCTTTTCCTAATACATGGAAAATATTTGCATTACGTTTACGTACATTTGTGTTTGCACATRCCTTGCTAGAGAAAACCAGTCGCTTAAGAGGACAATAACCACATAAGGAGGTCTAGAGCCTGTTTTTTATCTAGTCCTGTGTCCTCTGGTATTATTTACTGATTATGTTTTTTAACAAATAATAATTTGCTAACGATTTTCTTAGTATGTATTTATTTTGCTAAAGACTTCATTGTGTGAGTATTTGCCTCGCGTTCAGTCAGTGTGTCTACTGTGAGTTACCGTGTCGTACCGTATGTTTCGTTAACGTGTTTGTTATCGTGATAACCTGTCTACTGGTAAGTTACTTATTTACTACCGACTTTGAATGTCCTGTCTGGTAATGTATATTTGTTTCCCGTATTGTTACTGATTACCTCTCTTCTCTCCTCTCCTCTCTTCTCTCCTCTCCTCTCTTCTCTCCTCTCCTCTCCTCTCCTCAATTCAACTCAACTCAACACAACTCAACTCAACTCAACCCTCACCTCATCTCTTTTCCTTGGCTCCTCTTCCTTTTTGTCCTATTCTTCAGTCTTATTTCATATTTTGTTTATTTGCTAACTAATTTGTTTAACTACATGCACCTCAAAACTGACTTTGTGTGTGCGACCTTCTTGCTTATGACTGTATTTGTTGCACGTTTTTGTAATTGTCAGATTATGATCCCATCAAGGTCGATCTGAGAATATAAACTAAGTATGATAAAAATCAATAAACTAATACCAGTCAATTCTTCCACTTCTTAGGTCATGGTTACCACCACAGAGCTAGCAACAATCAAATCAAAACACCAACGTGACGTGGCAGAGCTCAGAGACAAATTACACCGAGCTAGCATAGCAAGTGATCGGGACCAGGCTCTTAGAGAAAAGGTCTTCAACGAAGCTAAAGCAGAAGTCATGTCTTTGAATAAAAAGGTACTGTACATGACCATTTCAGTAGCGTTCCTATGAGAGGGGATGTCAAAGGGTTATTCGATCAAACCAAGGAACAAATTTTGCAAAGCCGAAAAGCACTTTATATTACTTCAATCCCTCCTGATGTCACATGACTCACATGACACACGATCTCCAACCATATATCATGGCAACTGTTCTTGAACAGTYATTAGTAACTGATTTACGGATTTTCAAAAAAAAAAACCTACCGTCCATACAAAGAGATTGCGTTCCTTTTTTTCAAAATTTTGATAAAGAGCACTGGAATGGCTTACCTTGTTTAATATGACGTTACTCAAAATAGGTCTATAAAAACGGTCTATGATTACTGCTTTGGATCTAAGAAGAACTGACTAATCATGTTCTTACTAGAATACGTCACATCCGGAACGCAGGCTAGTTCTTACTGTCTTAGTTTCTTTGGATAAATAATGTTTTAACAACTGGATTTCTGGCTATCAAAGCCAACATTCTGATAGCTGAATTGAGGAACTCCCTTCTGGTCATTTACTCATTGCTCACATCTTTGTCTTGTCTTCTTTACTATTCTTTCTATGGCTATTTCTTTTCTTCCTCTCATTCATTATTGCCAGACTGTTGAGGAGTCTGATGATGTAAGTGTGGCTCCTTCTATGGAAAATGCAGCCACTTTTGATCTCTTTGCTGAAGTAAGTACATCTTGTCTGCTGTTTTTCGGCATGTATCTCTTTCAGTATCTCTTATCTCCCTATCCCCTGTACTGACTTAATTCATAAAATTTCTCCAAATTTCCCCAGTGCATTATGACGGAGTAAGAAAGGTGTCCTTTTGTTAACTCCGGGTTAACTTTATCGTAACGAGAATGAGATAACTCGGTCTCATTGAGGCGTCCCATTGGTCAAAATAGTAAAATAAGCATGGTACACTTTGGAAACCAGAGCTATGAATTGTTCTGTTACGGCAGTTCTTCATGTTCTTTGTCTGTTTCTTTCTCCTCTTGGTCTTAAGGACGTCTTAATTCTAGAACTTGACTGCGCTTGTTACCTGTAGAGATGTTCAGTAGGTCACTAGGTCAATAGCTGGTTTGCAGAATGGAATTCAAGTATGAGCCAGATTWTGTTCACAGACTTGAAGGATAAGACATGGACATTTTGCTTGTGGAGAGTATAACTCCTTATAATAGGTGTTTGGGTCACGGTTGGGGGATTGTCAATGTTTCTTTATAATGATATGCGTAATAATGATGATAATGATAATGATAATGATGACAGCGATAATGAATATGAAGATAAGTCTATTGTACACCATAGATAAAATAGTATTACTTCTAATGGTAAATGACTCGTTTTCCATCATTGTTAGCTCGAGGAGAAGACTCGTCGCGTTCGAGAACTAGAGAGCGCCAGTCAGTTATGGGAGAAGAGAATCCGTGACTTAGAAGCACAGAAGATGGCTATGAGTATGAAAGTACAAGAAACAAGAGAAGCTCTGGATGAGCATGTAGCACGACTTAGTAAACAGGTACGACAGCAAAACTACTATACATACCTTAAATACTTGCGCAGGGTTATCCTCTAATTCGTGTTTTGCGTAGAATATTTRTTTGTTGCAGTGAAGGTCCATGGAATTCCAAACTGTTAGTGCATTTTATTGCTACACTGTTGATATTGGCTATTTCGAGGTTGAGGGGAAACTGGGTCGAGTTGGAATCGATGTGCATTTTGGGGCTGTTTAAGGGGACGAAATGGACGCCATCTTGGAAATATGTCCCCAATGCAAAGCAATATGGACAATGCAATGCCAACTCGGTCCAGTTTTTCTCTCAACCTAGGAATGGCTAATAGGCCTTTTGCAATAGATTGACACATGATTGTTACTGGATGGCAAAAATTTATTTAAAGATTTATTGCTGGATTACTAATGCCGCATCCAAAACCTTTTCAAAAATACTTTTTTTTCTTTATAAGATACTTTCGATTTCAATATACGAAGCAATTTAACGTTTGTTTGCCATCCAGCAGAGCCTTCCCCAAGGGACCTTGAGCTGAATTGATTCGTCATCAAAGTGATAAATCTGCACGTGACTGTTTGTTGCAAAAGGCCTATTTGTGAATATTTAAAAGCTAAAATGAGGCTAACCCTGAGCAAATGAATTCGTAATCAAGAAACACACCGGTATTTTACTAGTTCGAAAAAGGTCAATTCCAAAAAAGCCCCGTCTTAAATGTTCAACAAGTATATGTTTAATTGAACGTTTGAATGCAAGAGCAAATGGTTGTTTATGTATTCCACAGCTTCAACATTCTGAAATGAGAACCACGCGTTCCGACACGTTGGTCCAAGAACTATACATCGAAAACGCTAAATTAACCAAAGCACTTCAACAAACAGAAGCCAGCGAGAAGAAAACAGAAAAGAATCTCCGTCAGTTAATGGAGCAGAAACGTGCCTTACAAAGAGTTATATCCAAGCTGTGTGGCGCTAATGCTATCGCATAATGTTCATTGAAGAGTCTTAAACCAACATTGGACCTTTCCCGAATTCGCTTGATGAAATACAGTAAATGTTTGAACACATCAAGTTCATCCTCAACTTTGAGCCATAGTTTCGTTGTCGCTCAAGCGAAATCAGGAAAGCTCTACACCCTTGACATGCAGGACAAGAATTACAAGATTTTCTATTCAAGAAAACTATTGCCTTTCCTTTTAGAAAAACCACGGCATCTTCMTAGATTAGATGAAAGCTACAAGCAAATATTCTTAGTCAAATTTGTGCCATTCGCCAGCAATAAACCTCAGTTCAATGTCTCCGCATACCATTTCAAGATGGCCGACACAAAAAAGGCAGGGACTATTTCCCCCCTCATATGGAATTTGTTTTTATAACAAAACATTTACATTTTATATAGCACTATTTATTTTACCTGAAGGAATTCGCTCCTATTTACAAATAACCCGAATTTTCGGATTCAACAAAATTTAGTCTTGTTGAAGGTCATAAATTTTGCAACTGAAATGAGGATTCCAGATCAAGGAATTCCAATTCCAGTCGTTCAGGATTCCCAATTTTAATCTTGTCCTAAAATGAGATGTCTTGAAAAGATGTTCTTGTAATGTCCTAAGAGCATGTCATGGTTTGGGCTTAGCACTCAAAATGGACTTCTCATTTTTACTAATTCATTTATTTATATGAATATTACAGCACTCGACTCTACTTTACTACGCTTCATATTTCGCCAAGTTTTAGTTTTATTTTCCACGCGTGAATCATGCACTTAAAAAATTTTAAAAACTTCTTACACCCGAAATACAAAAATAAAAGTTTAACTAATGTGGTAGTCAAAAGAAAGAGAATCTAAAAACTCTTATTTTATGAACTGAAAAGGCACATTTTTGTATGTTCACGATGTTTTCATTTCAGAAAGTTCAGTAAAGTAATACATCTATGATTACAAATGTATAGATTTACAGATCCTTTCATCTGTATTTTACTCACAAGAGCTGTATGTTTAGTACGCGTTCCATATTGCCGTACCCAAGCTTGCGCTATTCCTCCATCCATCATAATATTAATCTTTATTATTCAATTTCTAGAGTGATTTTATAAGTGTATATTAGAATTTTATTAGTTGTTTAGTGTACAGTTAGTTCTCGTTGATTGCCTTCGTACTTGGATATTTATATCGATATTTTTCTAAATCATCGATCACTGAATCAAATTTCATATAATCCTTTACAAATATTTCTAACTCTGCCAGAGGTGAATTTCAAAATCTCAGGTGAACACGAAAATTATCTTAAATATCTCATTATTAAAGGTACAGCTTAATAAGAAAGAGGACAACAAACGAACCAATGCATAAGCTAACATAGTGTAAATTTCCACATCATACGTATCAATATATACAAAAATAACAAGCGGATGATTCCTCTTTCTAAAATATGTAAATACTAGAATGCCCACTTCTGAAATTGTCACTCAAAATCTTTAATTTAATATGAATAAATATTATCAAAGCTTTGTCAATCGAAATATATCGTGGTGAATCTGCTTCATTAGCCATTCCGAGGTCGAGAAATTAGCATTGCATTGCATTGTGGGACTGATTTAGGGGACAAAATAGACGCCATCTTGGAAATATGTCCCCTAATGCCAACTCGACCCACCCGTTTTTCTCAACCTCGGAATGGCTAATGGCTTTGAGAATGGTTACTTTACATTAATTATTACTAGCCAGCATGCAACAACTTCAGTTGTACATAGTGAAGCTCTCAACTCCTTTTATCTGTTCACGTTGTGCGGAACGAATACAACCCGGAAATGACATGTAACGTGGTGAATAGATTTCATGGTTTTAGATGGGTTACACTACTCGATAAAGTATTATACACTCTAATTATTTATGGCTCAAATATGTTAATACAATACAGTAAAACATCAAGTCCAACCCCGACTGGGAGCCATTCATTCGAAAAAGTCTATTCTAAGTAGAGTACCATGTTTTTATTATGGCTTTAGCCACAGTGAAACATCCAGTTGTCTACGTAAATGTAAACCACGGGCCTTACCACTAATACCCGGATCCAAAAATACCCGTATGTTTAGACTGATTATGGTTGCTATGTCAGTCACAAATTCAAAATAAATTAACCAAACTGTCGAACCAGACTGAAATTACTCCTTGCACGACGTACRAATGAATCGACGTGAAAGGTAAGATTATTATTATACAATTTACATTTCTTTAATAGCTTTTGAACATTTTTTTTCTTTTGTTACTTTTTGTTGTAATCTATAATATAACAAAAGTGCATAATCAGTTTTCTTTTACAAAACAAAAATAATTGGGTTTTACAAATCAAAACTTAAATATCTTAATCATCGTTTAAATGTCAATGTTATGGTTCATTTTCAACTCTACTAACTCGGATTTCATTTTCATGTCAACTGGAAAGAAATAAGTTTCTAATAATTTTAAACACTCGGACTTTTATTCCCAATAAACGAAAGCGTTCAAATTTAGAATGGTTCGATAAGTAGATATCAATCAAAAATATAATACCATTTAAGGATAACTTTTAAGTGATGAATACCATAATAGTTGCTATAATTTCTTCGTAGTCGGCGATTGTTTCATTACGATACAATAACTTGCAAAAACAAATGCATTTGCTATCAGCCTCTCGTTATTGTAATTTTACTTTAAGTTTTAATTAGTATTTTTGGCTTGACAACTCGCTGCCCAATGCTCCAAAACATACACTAAGCTATGCAAACAGCTTACATTGAATTTTATTCGTCCAAGTGTACGTTCGTGTAGTTCAACGTTGCTGAAGTAGAAAATGTGAGATTTTTCAATGCAACTGCAATCTGAGCTAAACCTTTCAGAAGTGTCCAGCTTATAACTTGACAAAATGTGTTTTATAAGAAGATTGGAATCCAGTGGCAGAGCTCAGTTTGGCATATACAACAAGGTGTTAGATAGATTAAAATCTAACATAAATTCTCTATTTATTTGAATTTTAAATGGCAAAAAAGGCAAAATTAACACCAAGTTAATTCCGGCCGTACAAATAAGACACCTTGTACCGTGTCATTTTTGGAAATGGATTCCTGCTGTCATGGAAAATATCTGACTATGTTTTATTTGTCGGACCTCATTTAAAGAGGTTCGTAAATATTACTAAACATTTCCTTTCTGCCTAAATTTATTTTATTTAAGTACACTTTTAAGATTTTACTGTCTACTGAGTTTCCGTATTGATGCAAAAGTGCTAAACGATTAAACCTCAGTATAAACAAATTGGTGAGGCTAGAAAAGAAACAATCAAGTTCAAGTTATAACTGTTAATTGCAAAACTAATCAATCTATTGAGTTAAATTTTCCATTATATTTCGGGAATAAAAGAAAAACAAGAAAAGAAAGGAGGAGAGGAATAAAAAAATGGAAACAGAATTCAAATGAGATGAAAAAAGTTACTTGAAAATTAAACCGAGAGAGACAGAGGAAGGAAAAACAACAGAGGAAGCCAAGAAAGGAATTTAGACAAACAAGAAAACATTTGTTTAATTATATGGTAGAAAGAAGGAAAGATCAGATATACTACGTTTTCAAAATCGAATCTTACACACACGTTATAATTCTTTGATTACAATAGAAATCTTCAAATATTGGCCATGGTGCGTAATATTTGCCAACTTTTCCTCTAGACAACGTAATTACCATTGTAAAGATTCAGTCATTTTCTTTCTTTACTAAATTGCGCTAGCTGCATGAGTGCAAATCATAAATCCGTGAAACAGTATCAATTAGTACAAAATAGCACCAATGAAATAATTGAAATCAAAAGTACTAGTTGTATTAGTGCTATTTAGTTTTTGTGCTATTTCGAAGGTACATGGTTTGCTCTCATTCCTGCTGTGTATATCAGTGGACAAGTGTTATTGTGTGATTATGTGCGTGTCACCGGGTTTCCAGAGATTTCACCTTGACAGGTTAAGGACAGGTGGCTTGGTTAGAGTCAAACCAAATTTTCTTGTTTAACCAAAAAAACGTCAAGTTAGGGTTCACAAACCTACCACATGTAAAGTATGTATTGAAATTTTCACGAAAACTAACACATTCAACTCTCCGGTGATGATTAACACGAGAAAACAATGCATTAGAATGATAATATTAAAAAATTACAGCAGATCCATAGACCCATATGGGTTAATAAAGATATTAATTGGATATTATAAATAGAATGTATAGGTTATTGATTTTTGTTATTAATTGATTTATTTAACCCCGAGCTAAGACTCATAATGCGTCGAATCCACCCCAAGGTGCTGCAGCTAGAACTAACTTATTATRAAAATAGAGGTCCACTAGATGCATGCACTGGACAACTAAGTATTTTATACTGCATGTAGTGGAGAGTATATTGGAAATAATTGATAGCTATTTAAGGATATCGTCCTGGAAATTGGTCATACAAACAATGAGGTATGATTTTTATACTAGGAGACAATATGCAAGAATTTAACGTCATTATCAAAGTTAAGCTCAGATTTCTTGCCCACTTATTGTAGAGATGTAAGAGTTAATTACCTCGAACGGAGGCAATAAGCCATATACATCCCGAGGGCCGCAGGCCCGAGGGATGTATAGGCTTATTGCCGACGTTCGAGGTAATTAAGTATTTTATTTCTCAATTGAGAAGGTTTTCTATCAAATGTTGCTCATTATAAATGCGAACGGTCTATATATAGTTATTAACCGGGTTAATAACTATATATTGACCTCGCATTTATAATGAGGGTTATAACAAAAATAAAGCCTTGTGAATAACAAAGAAAACCGTGTCAATTGAGAAATAAATCTGAGTACATCCTTGTTATTCTTATGAAAGAGCTGTGAGTCAACAACAATGTAGAGGAAAATTTCGAAGAGCAGTGTTAATGGAGAAGTGAAAAGGAGCTACATATACATGGAGAACACTTTTGTCTTTTTGTCGCTTATTATATAACCCAATTATTTTGACTTACTGTAAACTTACTTGGTCTAACRAACCTATAAAACTATTTATTCGCGCTTTATCTGTCTTCTCGACACTTTTTGATATGAAAGAATACATAATTTTCTTTAAAATTTCAAATTAATGACCAAAATCGCATTTGAAATTTTAGAATGTCAGTGTAGGTGTGTGTGTTTGTGGAAGGGGATAGGGATGGGGATGGGATGGGGGAGAGGTGGGGGAGAAGGTGGTGGTTCGTCACCATTGTATGTTCGATACTCTCCCAATGAATGGTATGTGACATGGGATCAAAAAGGTGATTTTTAAACCTATAACTCTGACATGTTCTTGGTTTCTTTAAATTTCTTTCGTGCTCATATTGTTGTCCATGGATATTTTCAGTCATTAACTCCAATGTTTTTATTGATGCTTTTAAGCAGGATTGATAGTCACTGTTTTAATTACTGAAAATGGAAATTTGCCTTATTTCTTGCAGATAATTATACCCCTAGTTTTTTTAAAAGACCACAATGCACAAGTCCAAGAAAACCAGAACAAGGCAATCAGCCATCCCAGTACGACAGTGCAACAATGCACACAGTGCGCAGACTCAGCAGACCATCTACACCACAAGATCAGATTCCTCAGATGGAGAAATCACAACAGTGAGACAGTCCTTCCGAATAATTGGATCGCTAGATGGAGATAATAGAAACTCAGTAGAATCTTTCTGCGATAGTAATAAAGATAGTGGATATGATGGGTCCCAAGACCTGCTCAACCAAGACAGTGGCTTGRATTGTTATTCCGAGAGGAAAATGATGAAAGCTGTCAGTTTTGAAGATGTGGACACAGAAAATGATAGCCAAGTTTGGGCCCAGCCAACAAACAGCTTGAAACATGAGCTGGATGAAGAAGTAGGAGAAGATGAAGAAGCTTTGAAAGAAGAACTTTTGAGAATCTTTGAACGTGAGAAGCTAACACTTGGGAGCTTCTTCAAACACAAAATGGAAGATATGACAAGAGAATTTAAGAATAGACAAAATGAAATGGAAGAAAATTCAAGAGCAGAAAAAGCCGAGCTAGAAAATGAAATTGCTCAAGAAAGAACAGAAATGCAGAAGAGTTTTGCAGATGAAATTGCGGCACTTACTCGCACCTTCAACGAAGAGAGAGCCAATCTGGAACAGTATTACAAGGACCAACTGAAGGAACTGAGGGAAAGATCTACCCAGGAACAAACTGAGATGGACCAGAAAACTGCAAAGGAAAAAAGTGAGTTGCAAGAAAAATTAGAGGCTRAGTTCCAAGCCATGCTTCGAGCAGAGATAGCAGACTTGAAACAGTCAACAATGGAAGAAGCTACAGACCGAGAGAAAAGACACAGTATGGAAAAGTTGGAGATGGAAAGAAAGCACAATGTAGAATTGACAGAAGCTGAAATGAACGCACAGAAAGTAAAATCTGAATTGGAAATGATGTTTACACAGGAGAAAATGAGATTAGAGAGTGAACTTAGGGAAAGAATCCACGACTTGGAAGTACAGCTAAAAGAAGAGAGGGAGAAAAGGTGAGTTGTCAATGAAATTTTGCAATTGTTGCTCAAATGAATTTCAATTTAACGGTGTGCGTTCCATATTCGATTATGACATCTTTTTGGTATATCCATATTCATTTTTCTTCTTATGCTCAACTGTTAAACGAAGAAATGGTACTCTAGGGTATGACAAGAATTAGGTCTACTAGTCAGTTGTAGCTAATAAGTTCGTTTAAGACTTTTTGTTGCTGCTGCATGTTTTCCTTTCTTCTTAGGGCAACAAAAAGTAACAGTTATATTTAGTTAATTTGCTCTGTTGATATTAGTCAATGACAACTTGTTGGCTGCTTTAAGGAACAAGAAGTGACAGTTAGCCAAATGAGCAAATTGAATTAGCTTTCAGAATAAGTAATGCTGCATTGTCTTCATTTATTACTGAGAAAATGATTCTTAAATTAAGTTATAAAAACTTGGATATGTYGTAGTACTAAACTTTTCAAAATAGTACTTGTTTGTCTCTGATTAGTTGATGTTTTGCGAAAATAGACGTTTCGTTCGATCATTTACCAATGGTCTTCACTGATGAAGACCCGCAATGGTAAATGGTCGGAACGTCTATTTTTTCACAAAAAATTAATCAGACAAACAAATACTATTGATGATATGAATCCTGGTTGCAAATTTAAGATTTTATTCATGTAATGCCGAACTTATTTCGTCGCGAAAACAGCCCAATACTTTCAGTGGCATAACAAATATCTTCACAAAAAGGCATTTGCAATATTCACAGGAATTTGAGTAAAGCGAGGTTATATGAAGTGCTGCGCACATTACAGGTGGCTGTTCAAAGTAACTGAGAACCTGTTGAAATTGAAAATGATATGCCAAATATGATGTGTTTTTATGAACTGTAGTTTAGTGATTTGCATGAGGTAAGCCTTACATCTGGAACATCTGCATTACATCATATATTGGGGCTATTTCGAGTAGCAGTCGATGAACGCTACAGGTGGCTGCTTCGTTTGAAACCAAGACCAGCGACTTGAAATCATATAAAACGAAAATAATGAAAATATTATCAGAAGTATATGTTTAAAAATCGCAGCAACAACTTGAACAGCATTTTTTATTTGTTAGAATAATTATAACAAACTGGGCTCTTTTAACTGCTTTGGGCAATCGAAGAAACGGATCAAATTATCGAGATACAGTCATCGAAATAAATAAATGCAAACGTCTTTTAAAATTGTGCTTAATCATGCATATGTAAATTAATAGTAAGCGTTGTTTATACTGATTCATAGCATTATTTTTAGGAATGAACTGGAGAGACTTCTTGAAGAAGAAAGAATAAATCTTGAAAAACTTGACTGCGAAAAGAGAGAAGCGAGCGAGAATTTCAAAAGCGAGCTCGAAGGTCTGCGGATTGAACTAGATGAGAAGGACAAAAGCTCGATGGAAATGAGGAAAGTTGAAGAGGAAATAAGAGTGAAGGGTAAAGATGGTCTAAGTGGAAGGCTTCGTGAGGATTTCGATAAAATAGTGGATGATTACAAAATGGAACTCGAAAGGAACTACCAAAGGGATAAAGAAAAACTTCAAAAAGATCTTGATTATCAGTGTCAGGCAGAGAAACGGAGATTTCAGGAAGATCTTGAACGCGAGAAGAAAAAGCTGATTGATGACATCGCAAGAGAACGCGAAGACAATGAAAAGTCAAGGAAGAAATGTCAAGAGGATATTGAGGAGAAAGCAAAGGTAAAGGAGAGGTTTTCACAAGAAAATTGCTTGAAATACGACACTTATTCAGGCAGTCGTGAAGTGCAACGAGGAGAGAGATGGCAAGATGACCAGGACTACCGTGAGTTTGAAAAAGGAAAAAATGGTTACTCACCATCCAAACATTATTCAAGGGAAAGCAATGAAGAATTCTCTTTTGCTGGTTCGAATGTAGGAAATGATTCACACCATAACGAGGAACGATATCCGAACTCGTCCTTAAGACAACCAGTTTCTGGAAAAATTCAGATCGAATATGAAAGTCCTTCTCAGATCGAAAGTAACGAGTCAACATGTAGAGGAAACGACATTTCAAGCCATCTTGTTTCTGAAGATAAGGATGGATTGGAATCACATAACTATGAAACGGCCCCAACTTCAAATGATCTTTTTTACGTCACACCAGGAAGTGAAAACTCGTTGAGGTCAGAAATTAATGAACTGAGGCGGGAAAACGAAGGCTTCAAGGCTAAGATCGCAGCAATGGAAGAAAATATTGATCTTCACAAGACATACAAGGCCGAAGTCAAAGAAGAACTCAGCCGGCTCCAAAAGGATAAAAATGAGTTGCAATCAAAGCTAGAGAACAAAGATACGGAACAAGCTAGACATAGAACCGATGAACTAGAAGAAAAGTTAAGAGAAAGTGAGTCAAAGCGTCGGGAATTTGAGGRAAAAATTAAGGAATTGAACGAAAGGTTAAGGAAAGTCGAGTATAGGTCTCGTGAAAAGGAGCCGAGAGCTTGTCCGTTTGAGGATGAACTGATGAAGGATGAACCGTCTGTGGGCATGATGGCGGGAACAAACGATCCAATAGAAATAAAGGATAGTATTCAAACTTGCTATGCAAGTCCCTCACTAGAGTACATTAAGGAGTCTGAAGGAGATCGAAGCCTGAACCATCCACTCAACGAGCCGAGTTTATGTGTTAAGCCTGCGAGCCAAGAAAACGTTTACGGTTATCCACAGGAGACGAAAAGTAAAGAATACAAAAGCTCCTACTGCGGAGATACCACTGCGTCAAATTGTGGGAGTGACAGCTACAGGTCGTCCTTGAATGGTTTCGATCCAAACAAGTCTGGTTACTCAGACAGGTTTGGTTCAGACGCTGATTATCCAAGAGTAACAAGACCAGATCTGTACACTTCAGACAGGCCAACTAGTCCACTTTATGGAAGTCACAGCAGTCCGAGCTCTAGAATTAGTAACAAACGCAATACTTCAAAAGAGAAGTACAAACTTGGGGAACACAGYAGTTTTGGAGAGAAGAGCGATCCATTCTTTGAAACGTCGTCCCCAAGATCTTTGAAGAAAGACAGGCCTAGGCGTGATAAGAACTCCTCATTTGGAACTAAAGACAACATGACAGCAAAAAAGAAGGTATGGGATAAATAATTTTTAAGCTCTACTGTCTATTTCATGTCTTAGAGAGCTGTTTCCATGACTGTTAAATGTGCACACGGCACCACGGCTCGGAATTGATAAAATTCATTGAGCCTATCACAGTTCGAGGGTCCATGCACTGTTCATCCAATCAAAAAGTTTGAGACACTTTGAATTCAAGGTCATTGTAAGGTACGGTCTTGACGTGATTTTTTTAGTTTGAAAGAGTTTTACATTTCATACCAAATTTGCTCTAATGGATATATTTCATTGTGGCCTATCACTTCCTTGTTCAATACTCTGATCTGCCAAAATATATAAGCAGATATTCTAGTTCTACATCCATGGACTCCAAGTTTTTTCTCCAGGTTCTCCGGCTGTCGTCCCCAAGCTGTTGTAGACTCGCTATTACTGAACTATTACAGCACTAACAACCCGATCTAAAACCATTAAAGATGAGGGATAATGAACTGTTCTCTGTTTATATTATAGGTCGTTTATAGATTCAAAAGATTCAAATTCAATACATATTATATCCTCTAAAAAGATGTATTATAATTTTTGATCTAAGATGCCAGTGATGGCAAACTTTCATGTTCAGACGAAAACCACCATACGCATGCGTTCCATGATCATCAGGTAACCACATACGCATTCATCGACAAAGTTGAAATTTCTCACTTTCTGATTGACTCTTCACAATCACTAATGAAAATACAGACAATATGATTTTCTATTACCTCAAGGGCGCGGTAATCTTTTACTAAATAGTTACAGAAAATCGAGATTTTTTTAGCGTTCGTCAAGGTTATGAAGGATATCGAGGAAAGGAACGCAAATAATGAATGAAAAAATAAATGTTTTTAAGAGTAATATATGTTATAAAATATCAAGTACCAAAATCTTGACTTAGGGAGTAAGTGATGACGAGATTTCATCAGAAGAAGAAGAAAGCCACGATACACATGCGTCTCACGATCACAAGGTAACATACGTTGTATCACTTGGCATTGATCTSGATATGCCTTTTCTCTCTTTCCTCTAGCTTCGTAAAAACATCTAAAAAGTACTTTTATGTTCAGCAATCGACCTGCTCAAACCACTCATTCATTTTCACACCATGATATCATGGCTGSAAGTTACCAATCACCAAGATAGCTTTGTTCATTAAAGATTGCAATAAAGAGGTGTAATGAAAGAAGCTAGCTATAACAAATGAGGCGGCCATTACATCGTAATGCGGCTATTAATTATTCCAGGAGGCAAATAAAGCTTTCTTACAGTAATGGTGTCGGTTGATATTAACAGCTCACAACAAGAGAATACAACAAAAGACAAATTAAGACGGTAAATCGATTACCTTTACCTATAAAAGAAAGACAAACACGAGAAATTCTATATATTTTCTCTCATCTTTGTTTTGCTTTGCCCCCTGGCAAGATGCATGGCCGTCGTATGGTCGAAGTAGTCCAYTGCCTAATTTAGTGGTGATTGCCTATATATCACGTGTGGTTAATTTATATGTAGCAAGATATAAAGTTCATGCTGTCAAAAAAAGTTGTATGCTAATTACATTTTGATTATTTATATAGGCCAATTATGAGAAAGCAGTTGCCGAGAGAGAAAAGCTAAAGCATTTGATCAAGAAATTAAAAGAAAAAGTTGAAGAACTCGAAAAGGAAAAAGAGAGAATCGACAGGGAAGAGGTAAAGACGTGAAATGAGCTTTAGATAGCCGTTTTATCAACACGAGTGTCACTCAAATTATTCCGCTTATAGTGGCATAACAAGAGCTCGGGAGTCGAGAGACGGGAAGCGAGAGCGTCAGTCGTGGCGCGTAATATGTACGATTAAGCCATTAAGTCATATTGGAATTTTACCGGCATGACATTGTCAAAACTAATGCTTAAGAAAAGCTACATTTTACTGGCTTATTGGCTTACTTTAAGGAGAGGGTTTAACTCCCCCCTCCCCCCACCTTTGTCTCCTGCTTTAAGCTATTATATTCGTATTTTATCCATCCAGTACAAGCTCAAAGATGACCAAATTGACAACTTTTCCTCACGTAACTTGCCAATAGAGAATGCTGCATTGAAGTTGAAGGTTGAAGAAATGCAAAGGAAGATCAAGGTTTTAGCTGACAGACTGGAGGCAGAAAAATCAAAGGTGCAGGAAAATAAACAAGCTAGCGGGTTTTGAAGGCCATAATCCTGTTAAATACCCTAAAACTGTAATTCTTCATTTGAATTTTTTTGGTTCCTGATAATTTTAATCTACAATTAATTCTAAACACATGCTTCTCATGTGTATTAAAAAAGAATTTGGTATCTACAGCTAGCGCCAAAAGCATGATGAACGATGCACAATTCAATCGCTAGTATTTCCCCACCTCGTATACCCTCAGATTTTATAAACCTTTCCCGAATTCTCTCGAGTGATCACGAAATGGTTCCAAGTCAAGGTAGGACTTGATCTAGTACAGTAAATACATAAACACATCAAGTCCATCCTTGACTTGATCATGAACGATGCACAATTCAATCGCTAGTATTTCCCCACCTCGTATACCCTCAGATTTGATAGACCGGCCTTTCCCGAATTCGCTCGACTGATCACGAAATGGTTCCAAGTAGAGGTAGGACTTGATAAAATACAGTAAATATATGTGAGTTGAGAGTTGTGTGTATAGAATATTCTAATGTAGTAAGGAGTGTGTATGGAGGATACACGGCCCCACAGCTCTTATCTTTAATGCATACCGTGTATAAATAAAAAWTTTTTTTWAACACATCAGGTCCATCCTCGACTTGGGACTATTGCTTCGTCAGCCACAAAGCGAATTCAGTATATCTAATATATATATATCATGTCTTTTTTAATGAAGAACCCTTCAGATAACGAAACGCTTAAGAGGAAGCCGTACTCAATGCAAGACATTGAAGATCTTCAAGGAAAACTCCAACGTACAGGTGATGCCATTAAGGGCAGCGACGATAACCTCGACCCCGATGTACTGAGGAGAATCGAAAGAGAGATCAAGGCTATAGGTGACTTCATTAGGAGTCACTATTACGAGGAAAGCCATGGCGGATCGTCCTATCGTTCTACAAATGATGCTGGAAAAGTCTTAGGGCTTCAAATGGAAAAGAAAGAGTTGGAAATGAAGCTGGACATGGCAAAAGAGGCGATGAATGACTATGTGACTCGTCTGAGTGACAAGGTATGGCACAACGTAAAGGTTTATTTTACTTGCTGAAAGTTGCWTTGAGACTTTTCCAGTTATAATATGGGTTCTGTTTACAGTAAAAGGGTGGCTCTACTGGTAGGCTTTTTTCGTTTCGTTCCGTTTTTGTTTGTCGTTGTTCAGTGTAGTTTTCTTTGGGGATGTCTCCATAAGAATACGAACGCGGTCACTGAGGTTACTTTATGTGAACGAGACTTGGGAAGCAGTCATTAAGAGTATATTAATTCGCGTGCATGATGGCAGAGATGCTTTGATCACATTCTTATATCAGCTTTGTAGCTGCATCTGATATTACACTCACGAGGGGATTAACATATAACAAGATTGTAAAGTATTATTGAAGTACAAAAAATCATGACTTTCCCAATATTTCATTTTGATTCAAAAGTCTTCTGCCATCCCTTTGAAACCAATTACAAATAATGAGTCTTCATTAATGCTCGTTATTGCTGTCCACTTACAGATGGAGGACTTTCAAGAATCAAACAGTCTGTCTGATTCCACTTTACAAGAGCTATACGACCGCAACGCCAGACTCAAAGAAACATTAAGAGCACTCGAGAAGGGACAACACAAATCCCAAATGCAAAACGAGCAGCTAAGGCACCAAAAGATGGCACTTCAAAATTTGATTGGGCAGCTTTGTAAACCTGGTGACGTTTCCTTTGGCTCGCAGTTCTCGAGCCCGAGGCATTCTGGGAGAGGAGGCGGTAACTATGGTTGCACCATGACGTCGCAGATCCATTATGGAATTCCTAAGCTTGATTTCAATAAAAACTATGGGTCTTGAGTTTTGAAAGAACTGAGTTGGGGGTAACACTCATTTGAATATCAGAGATGTTGCTCAATTTGTTTTCGTTCATATCCTTGTATTTTTACGAGATAAATGTACGCTTTTGGGTAACTGAAATACAAAGAGATTTTATAAAAATCAAATTTGCTTTTAATTTATTGAGTTTGGACCGAACCCGTCATTGGATTTATCACTAGTTTCATTTATGCATTTTTAACGATTATAACCTTGTGAAGCATCTTATGAATGGGGAAAAGGTTTCAAAGCTATCGTCAGTAACATTTTGTACAAGCATAAAAAAATGTTTATATATTTTGAAGTTCTTGCAATTGGGTGTATATCAAATATGCTATCTTAAAAAAAACATATATAAAATATTTTAAAAAAATCTGTTACTCAAACAAAATATTTATGTGTCGACGTAATAATAGGATGAAGCAAAATTCACATTTCTGGAATTTACACCCCGCTGGTCGTACCATATTATGTATATGTAAATATAGGTTTTTTATCAGATAGGTTCTAGATAATTTACCCTATATAACTATACATATAAAAACGTTTTGATAAAAGGTCCATACTTTCCTCGTTACACAGGTGACAATATTTTAATTTAAGTGCTTTTTTTTTCTGTTTGCTATCAATTGATTTTTTTGGAGCATGCATATGTATTCTATTGATCTTATTTAATAAAATGATTTAAAATTATTGAGATGTTTAAATTGCTTACTAATACCACAAAAGGAGGGGTTCTAAGTGATTATCACTCATAACAATTCCCCCTTCAAATACGCGTTCGCTTTATAAACATAACCGCCTATTTGAAGAAGGGTCACAGGTACCTCAAGGTACAGGTACTTACTTCATCTAACATGAACCTTTCATAGTGATAAGGACATCTTAATTTATTCTTATGCAGCAAACTAGCTATGGCAGACTAGATTCTCTTACAAAATGAAGCATATTTGTTAGAAGGACTATCTAAGTGTCTAGGGACATTTGAAGGCACTAATAAAGTTCCAATTCTTTTCATTTTCTTTCCTTAATTAATCATGCAGCAATATATGGCAGACGGAGAGAGCCTATGCCTACAATATGAAGCATATTAGTTCTCGTAGAAGTACGTTTGCTTCTATAACAATTTATATCCTCAGCAAAATATGACAGTTGACAGAGGCTACCTTGCAATATGAAGAGCCGTTTGTTCTCGTAGAAGGACTTAAATTTCTAATGACATTTGGAGGCATTGATAGAGTTGCAATGCTTCTTCGACAATTTCTTTGGATTCCTCGTCGACGTCACTCATAATTGATTCTAGACATCCTCGTGCTTCAGCAAATTTGTTTAGCTTAAAGTAGATTACGGACAACAGAAAGACATAATGCTTCTTGGACGTTTTTGCACTCATATCTCGTACAACCTTGGAAGCAGATGTTAAAGCCTGCTCAATCTCACTGGCCTCAAAGAAGCCAGGGTTAGCAGTGCTGCACTCAATCAGAAGAAAGTGCTGAAAAAAATTAATTTGGACTGCACATGAACCTACTGAATCTATGTAGGAATATAAGTGATCAGGGAAAATGAACTTAGTCACATAGCGATTCAAATTCTTCAGCTCTATTTCTAGGAATGGACCATTCAGAAACGAAAAGGTCCACAAACAAGTTGGATTGAGGCGCAATAACATCCTACATGCTTCCTTTTTCACCCCAAACATCAGGAATAGAAAGATTGTGTTGTACGAAGAAACAAAATAAAGGTTGATATCTAAAGTGCCGTTTAAGTATTGAATGAACAATTCGTAGGCTGTCAATTTGGCTGTGGTGGTGTCTTTGTCTTTAGGCTTTGGCGCCGCTTCGACCATTTCTTCCATCTCCTTTGCGTGTTCGAATGTGGAATCATCGGTTTGTAACTTTGGGAACATATTCATCATTTTCTGTCAGGGCTTCTGGCAAAGATGCTGTATTGTTTCCCGTGTCTGAATCGGATGTCGTCTGTGATAAAAGCTCGAGACATTCTTTCATTCCTTCCATGGCAACAGCTGCTTTTCTAAGTTGTAATTCTTCTGGACTCTTGACGGCAGGGACGTATAACTTGGTCATCCATAAAGCTATCTTCAGCATTGCTCTTTGCATTGTGCCAGAAATGGCAATGGTTGTTGGTTCAGTTCCAGAATAGATGTCAGCATTCAAGACTTGTATTCCTGAAGCATGAAGCTCTTTCGATTCGCAGAAGCTCTCAAGAACAAGCATCCTATATGTCAGCACTTTAAAAATAGGACTGGCTTCTCCCTGGGCAGGAAGTTGAAGACCAAGCATGCTTGTGATTGATTTGACATTTTCATTCGCTTCAATCGCCTCGGGATACTTTGTGCGTAGGAATTCCTGAAATTTACAAGACTGATCGACTTCTACCCCAGAATAGGTGACGTCAGACATGAAAGAAAACTGGTTTGCATTGAAATCTGGATTTACTACTTTCATGATCTTCCAAGCATCTTCCAACAAAGCAAAAGCTCTGTTGTACTTAATTAGTTCATTCATTGATATATCAGAATGAGCATGACGAATAAGAGACATCACAATGCTATGGGCAGGCAGCTGAAAATCATTATCGGGCTTTTCCTGTTTACTAAGCTGGAAGTATGGTTGAAAGTCATCTTGAAAGATTTTGCCTTTGCTGAAATCGAAGGCAAATTTGGCGTCAAACATCATTAGGTATTTTTCTGGAGCTTTTCTGACAGCCTTCACTTTCTCCAGAACTTCTTTAATATTCTCTGCTGGATAGTGATCAATGAGATTGTAGCCTTCAATAAAGTAGCTCATCACTCTTCCGTTCTCCAGGTGACTAATGAGTTTATCCAGCAAAAAATACAGGCATGGTATAAGGTTAACCTCTGTCCACATACTAGCAGAGCCCTCCGTTTCCTCTAGTGCTTCAAACAAGATGTTCTTCAGATGGTATGTCGCCAACAGCTTAGGCTCCTTCAGAGCTGTCTTGTGCAGCATTTTGAATAGAATGTAGCACTTTCTCTGAACCAATGTCAGAGATGATCCCAGTACACTTTCAATAGCTGATGCTGAAAGACGCCATTCCATGTCTTTTCCTGGACTTCCATGGTACCCTACACCAACAGCATAGCATGGTTTCTGGAATAATTGCAGTCGAATGTCTTCAGGTGGCCATGGACGAGTTTGAATCCGCTCTTGCCAAGCTAACAGCTGGTCAGGCAATCCATCACATTTAATGGTAGGGACGAAATCTCCATCAAAAATACTTTTGACCAATTCATCTTCGTTTAATACTTTCATATTGATAGCTGGACCTTGCCTTGTGAGCTTTCTTCCCTTAAGATGTTCCACGGTTTGAAATCTAGAATTAAGAGGATCATAAATTGAGGACAGAAACATTTCACTTGACAAGTAATTTCCTTCTTCACAATGGATCACAGATTTCTTTAGTGGTTCTGGAAGAACGTCAACATTTCCTTCAACGAGTATTCTAGTGAAGCCCAAGTGACAGCCATTGTTGTCCATGACTAAATGAACGTTAGAAGAGGGAGATGCATTGTCGGAGGTCATGGCTTCTGGGAGTTTACACATAAGCGGTTGCGAGATCAAAAGCATGACGTCAAGATCTGCTGATTCATATACATCAATTTCTGAATCTGCAGATTCATCGCTGTTCCGTGCTTGATACGGGGGTAAAAACAGCTCTTCACGAGAACTGCCAGAATGAATCATGTATTCTCCAATGTCCTCTACAGTTAAGAAGTAAAATAAATGTTTCAATAAGTGTATACGCCTAAAGCGGCCTGGTTTACACTAGCTTTGGAATTGAAATCGTAAGTAACATACGCAGACTCATGTAGGTATGAAAAAATACGATCACAGAGTCTGACTGTGTATCTCTAACGGTCTGAGTTCTTATTAGTTATATTAGTTCTTATTATATAGTTACAAATAGTTACATATAGTTATTATATAGAGCACAGTGCACTCGCCTACGGCTCATGCTTCTCATTACACTTCTTTCATGCTCACACAACTTTCTGCGTGCTTTATTATTGAACGGAGCACGTAAAAAGCTGTCTTATTTGTTAATGACTAAACGGTCGCTCGCGCGTATTTATGAAAATGGGTAGATAAAAGTCATGAGCCATAAATGATGATCCAAAATTTGCATAAATAAAATGTCATTGTTATTAAGGGAAAACTTACTGGGGATAAAAAAGAAGAGTACCTGTTTCTGGTGAACTGATTCCGAAAAAAGAAGTCATCAAAGATCTTGCATTTGAAGGGGGATCTTTGTATAAATCTCCTAGCTGGAAAAAAAAAAACATCGTATTTATTTATGAAATCCATATAACACCCATTCCACGTTAAGTGGAGCCAAATGCAGTATTGTGTATTTTTATCCTAAAGATGATATTCTGGGAAATATTACCTTTTTATATTACGTTTTATGAATAGTTTTAATGATTATCTTTTCATACAACACACACACACACACACACACAAAACCATTTCAAAAAGAATTTTTAAAGAATAAGTCCTGAAATATGCAAAATAATGTTTAACATTTTTGTTTTCCATGCATGAGCCATTCTTAGTCTTACAAATACTGGGTAATGTCCAGTCGCCGGCAGACTTGAGCTTTGAAGACCCTCGAACCATGTACACTTAGTCGAGTTTTAGGTAACTTTTTAAAAATGCATGCTGTAGCCACCCGCAGTAAGCCTTAGTTCAGTCATATCAACCGCACCATTTTTAACCGTCCGAACCATTTTCCCCCTCATAAAATATAATTATTACATAAGTATATAAGAACAACAGGACCACCTTTTTAAAATACCATTGAGCCATTCAATTGGCAATACGTTTTATTATTTTATTTTTTGAGTTTCTTCACTGTGATGTGATTGTGTCAAATGATGTGACTGTGATTTTAACATGGCTGGAGCGCGAAAGGCTCATTATTTTTTAGAAAACCTTACAGCAGTGGCGTAGCGAAAGTTCCACTTTTGTTGGAGGGGCGGGCGCGCGCGTTCTGGCCAAAGTTCCCGCGAAATTAAATAGAACCCTAAAAAAGGACCATTCAGTCTCAAAGTACCCTCCTCTTATCCTGGTATGGACCAATTATATAAAATCCCTTAAAACATTCAGTAAACTTTTTCGATCAAAAATATAGTACATAAAATGAAAATATAAAGATTAATCTCAAGTCTTCTATGTCATTATCTTACAGTAGTGTGGGTTATTCTTACCATTTTCATCAACGATTTTTGTTCAGATGAAACATTGACCTGAATTTCAGCAATTGGTATGAAGTACTTGAAGACCAAAGACCTTAGAGTATCAGGGTTTTGGTCGGCGAGGAAGTCTTCTACAGGTGTACTGTCATATGAGAAGGATTCATTGTGAAGTGGGATGTCGAGTAACGGTTGGCGTTTGAAATCAAGAGATGATAACCCAAATCTGTTCCCAGCCATATTGTGATCATTCACTGCAATGATATCAAAAATGGATGTTCAAATGTTAAAACCTTAACAAATGGCTGATCTGAGAAAAAATGCTAGCCAATCAAAACCGAGAACATTTGCAAAACTGAGGTTTCACTTTTCCAAATGAATGCCACCAAATGAAAGGGAAAAAAACGTTGCTAATAAGAGATTGATAACAGCCACACGAATTTTAATAATTTTGATATCTCTATTGCGATTGCAATGGCGGGCATGGTTTTATTTTTCAGTGGTCGAACATCACTATTATTATATCCAAATCAAACATTTAGGTCTAAAAGTCCTCATCTTACATACATGTCATTTTACTGGCACCACAGGAAGCCCAAGCTAGGATTTTATATCTATTAATGTGAGGAATTTTGGTAAAACAAATGATAGACACTCATAAAAGAAATTTATAGACCTAATGCATGCATTAATTTTCAGATTTAAAAATATAAAAGATAAAAGACTCTCAGAAAGAGCAATCAGAAATATGTATTTTTGGAAAGTTTTATTTAACAGATCAAAAACAGTTTTCCCTGTTTGATACTCTGGTCAAAACACGCGGGATGTTGGGAGAACACGAGAGGAGCGTAGGAAACCACGACGCGTAGCGGATAGCATTTCCCCTCTTTGGTACGCCAGAAAGTTCGTTTAGAGCGAGGCGGAAAACGAACCTATGTATAAAGGAATATAAAAATAGAATGCTGCATTTCAATGAAACTGTCATGAATCTGTCAAAGTCTATTGTTTGAAAGCGGATATTTACCAGAGAGGTCACGGTTGTAGAGGTAACTGGTCCCATCAACCACTGGTCCACATACATTTAAAGTATGGCTTACAAATATCATTGTTTTGTGTGTCACAGATTAATATTCCCTATAAATAAGACATGCTGTCCTTAAGCTTATTTGTCATGTGATCGTTTGGTGCTGTATTTGCTGGTAATAAACCCTGGTGAATTATTTTAACGGCGGTTTCAAAATAGGTACTAAAATTAGTTTCAGCCCTTCTCTCTTTCTTACCATTTACTAGGGCGTGCGTTACACTGATACGTTACGTTAATCTGCTATCAAGTTACTGGTAGTACGATTACCGGAAATTCAACGTATCAGCGTCTTGTTTCAAATCTCAACACAGGAAACCAAAAGCACTTTATTGATTTATTTATTCATGTACAAATCCCAAAGCCGGGCTCCCTTTGGCTGAAGGTCAAAGTTTTTTTAAATATTAAAACCAAATTATGTAAATCAAACATTAACTTTTATATATTCTGAAATTTTCGGTTTACAAATATCTCAGTATCACAATAATATCTTATCTCGGTAAATTTAATTTCAATTCATGCATCTTGAAATTTAAATTAATGTCAGGCTGTAAACAAACGCCTTGAACAGCAAGTTGTTATTTCTGTAGTCTATTTTTGTGATCAGATAGCGCTAGACTATCTAGACCATTCAAGCATTTATGGATATATATAAAAGTAGTGTCGTCTTTCAAACGATGTAAACTAGCAGTTATATTGAGAAAAATAGTTGAGAATATTTTTTGAATTTCAATTCTAAAGTCAAGCTGTTTATGGGAGCTTGCTTTCACAATATCTTATTATTTCGATTCGATTTGATTCGATTTGCGTTTATCTGTTTCATATACGATAATCATTGCTGAAAGAGCTGAAGATCCAAATAAATCCACTGACAGTTTTCTAGATACAAAGCTCATGGTTTAAATTAATCAAGTTTAAAATATCTTGAAAAAAAGTTTACAAACCTCATTCGAGTATCTTTGACCAGCTGAAGCGTACCTGAAGCGTAGCGAACTAGGGTCGGTATTCCTTCTCAGTATGCAATAAGCTATAAAAGAGTGAGATGAGATTTTCAAACAAATATAGCTAAATATTGTGTTATCTCGTGGATAGCCTTCGTTCCTAACCTTAGAACGTTGAATGAGTCGTTTTATTGCAGGCAGGACTCAAATCTTGCGCTTCTTTGAATCCAAGGAAAGTACATACACCTATAGGAAGTTACTAAACTGATAAATGACATTTCCTGTTTGAATAATCAACCACGCCACAGGAAGTACGATCGCGGAAATTTGGCTCTATTTCACTTCGGGTAGACTGCAAAATAACTTCTGAACCCCAGGGTAATTGAATAGACGATAGTTCGTAAAGCAAAACTTTTGATATCATATTTCGGCATAGACTGATGCAGAAGTCGTAGTTTTAGCTTCGATGTTTTATTAAGGATGCTATTACTATCCCACAATTTTTTTTGTCTATTTAATAAAGCATGCCCTATGCGTCGGACGGAAAAAGGTTACATCATAAGACGGACGGACGGACGAACAGTTTATACCAACTGAGCGGTGAATGTGGCGCGCAAAGCATGAGTGGACAAAATGATCGACCCTAGGCGTTTGTGCTTGAAAGAAAGGAGCAAACATGCGAGTAGAGTGAAATCGTTTTTATTCTTTCTTTCCATATTTCTGCTTCTTGTAGGCACGTTTATTATATTTTAGTCAAAAGAAAACAGAAGAATAGGCAAAAGTTGGCTTATGCATAATACCTTGGGAATGAGGGCCGGCGGCAAAACTGCTAAACGCGGCTAAATCAAATTTCACCGCTCATCTGGTAGGGCTAATATAATGCATATTGAAGTTTTTCAGCTACCGAACATCTATTCAAGCTACCAAGCAAAACAATTCGTCATTCTTCATGCATGTATGGAAACACTCTCCAAATGCCCAGAATATATTAACTACCCAGAATATTCCTCGGTTTTAGCTTCAATGTTTTAACCTTTTTGAACCCGACAACGATTTTTGAGTTTGGTGTAGTTAATGTCTAAGAATATACTAGTAAAAAAGTAAGATATTTTTGAATCCTTTTCTATTTTACTGGTTACAAATCAGCATATTTTGCCTTGGCTAAGGACTTTAAAATTTAATGAAGCATCATTTAAAAATAAAGCTGTTGGCCAGAGCCCAAAAAACGATTTAACTACAAAAAAGCCCACAGACGTAAATAAGAAAGACATGCTTATTTTCTCAATATCTATGAAAAGAAAGGAAAAACATTGACGAATCAGAGAATGGCGTTCCAGTTGCCTCACGAACTATAATGATAGTATCAAATTATCTTCCATTAATGTTATACGATGAATAATGAATTAAATCTACGGTTTTGAAGTTTCTGGTGTTAAATTGAAGGTATTATACTTTATCTTAATTGAATGTCTTTAAATCTTGGCTGCATCTTTCCATAACTGTGTGTAGTTCGCCATAGCGACAAAGCCAATACCGCTGTGACATTGTTTAGTTCGGGCTTCAACGTACTTTCTTGGTAACTGTGGTATAGTTTTGGGTTTAAGTTGATATAAATCTCAAAAGGAGTTCTACGGTCGTAGGAAAGACGAGGAAAAAATATAACATGGCTTATATAAGGGCTGTTATCTCGACAAGAGAATACAGATTGCGGTGAGACCAAAGAAATTTCATTTCAGAGGCAGGTTAAAATCACCATGTAAAGGCAACGATTACTGGTCTTAAAAGCAAAACAAAATGGATCGAAAGAAACTGAAAGTTACCAAACAAAAGAGTGATAGCTCCATCGCACTCCAAAAAGGTCCAAAGTCAGGCAACCAGTTTCTACAGCTTGATGTCACCACTCTAAATTCAAAGTCTTTGTCTTCGCTCATCAAGGAAAGTAAGCCAGAATCAAAAAATGTCGAAACGCAAACTGAATTTGAAGATATTGTGGCTTTACATTTAGAGGCACTGAAAGACGAATTTGAGCGGGAAAGGGCCGAGTTGGAAGCCGAATTAACCAAAGAGAAGAGAAATCTAGAGGGAAAGCTGAGAGATTACTATGCAAAAATTTTAGAAAGCAAAGATATTTTGATAAATGATCTGACAAACGAAAAGGACTTCTTATGGGAAGAAATGAGAGATCTAAGAGAATCTTGTCAAGTGGTTAATGGGAATGTCGAGCCAGCTGAATCAAGTACTGATGATCTCGAATGGGATCATGGGAGTGACAGTGAAATCAGCAGAAGATTAGAAAAAAAACGCGGCTCAGAGCGAAGTAAAATAACTAACTTATCTTTAAGTACTCAGGTTAAAGAGACTCTTCTTTGGTCAGTTATGAAACTGCATAAACAGAATTTAATAGAGAAATACCAAAAGGAGAAGCAGGCGCTTCTGGATAAAATAGAAATTGAAAAAGATTTGATTCGAGAAGAAATATCATCAGAACTGGAATCAAACTACCAAGAAGAAATAAAGAATCTACGAGAAACAGTTACTGGACTACAAGAGGTACTGAGTGATATGAAAAGCCAGAAAAGTGAACTTGCAAAGATATTTGAAGGAGAAAAGAACGCTTTGAAATTGGAGATTTCGAGAAAAGAAGAGGAACTGAAGCAAAAGATGGCCAAGAATATGCAGCGAAAAGTTATCCAAGCTCATCAGGATTGGTCAGTTACTAAACTGTGAGCTTACTGCGCTGCTATTTTCATAAACATGCGAACTCTGTGTCTCCGAGTTGCGCTCTGAAATTTGGTTTTTCGCTGCCGCCAGTCAAAAATATGGAAGGTACCGACTGATTAGGTTTGATTGACAGCAGCGAAAAGACCAAATTTCAGCGTTCAGTTCGCATCTACAGAGTTCGTATGTTTATGGAAATAGTAGTGAAATATTAGTTTCTTGTCCCAAAGGAGAGGACGCCACATGCCCCCCACCCCTTACCCCCTCCCAATTTTCCAATTTGGGCCGCTACGCAGGCTATACAAGTCTTTATAAAATGTCTTAATAAAGAAATCTGGACAACTAGTCTTGACAGTTCCCGAGACAAGCACGATGAAGGCTTACCTCTAGTGTGATTGAAATGCTGAATAGAAAATGCTGGGTCCTGGAAAATCTCTTTGTATTAAAGAAAAATTACAAACATTTAAACCCCAGCAGGGTTAAGTGGAAAATTGTTTTCAAAGAAAAAAGATGTGAATCTCTGATAATTTAGGCTCGTGCTAAAATACTAAAAAGATGTTCTTATAGTTTTAAAAAAATATTGATTAAAATTCATCGGTTTTCATGTGAATTCGAGCAAGGTCTATAGAAAAAAAACAATAAAATAAATAAAACATAAATAATATATGTAAAGTAAAACATATAAGTTCGAAAACCTCAGAAAAATATAGTTGAGGTTTTAGGGAAAAAATCTATTATCATTATTAGTGAGCACAATTTTAATATTTGCTAAAAATATTTATAAAAAGCGTTGAGACAGACGACGCTGGAGTTATTCAACTATGGGGAAAAAAAAAAATGAAATTTACTAGGAAAAAATGTTTAATATTAGTCGTAGAAAAATTATCGACATTCACTGATTTTGCTGTCAAAACAGTATTGTGCTGCACGTGGGCTGTAGTTAGAACCTTGGGCGTCTTGGAGTATGGATTTGAACGAAGCGGTTCTTCTTCTTTTCCTTCTTTTTTAATAATGTACAATCGTTTAGACTATTATCAAATACAAAACTCGCACCGATGCGAGGCTTAATTTGTGAACAAAGGGATCTGGCGTGACTCAAAGTAATCTGGCGTGATTCAAAAGTCACGAATCACGCCAGATTCCCTTGTTCACAACTTAAGCCTCACATCGGTGCGAGTTTTGAATTTGGTCTATGGTTCGCTTCTTGTAACACACAAGCGTTTCAATGTGACGCTTCGTGCATAATGCTTAGTGAATCCTGACAGGATAAACGCATAAATAAATTAAGAATAAATGGACGGACTGACGAACCCGACGGACAGACAAACAGATATTCAGACGGACAGGAATTTTGTGTTTGCGGTAGTAGATAATAATCCACAATAAAAACACAGATTGAAAACACAGATTACATCAAAAACCATATCAGCTTGATCTGTTATATAACGACTAAATGATGGTCGTTTTATCTAAAGAAAATCCTCCAGTCTTTATCAGTCTTTTATGCGTTTCGACCCTGGGGGTGCTCAGACAATGAAACCCTTATATTTTGATCTGATGTTTTCCGTTCCCTTTGAGTATTAAATTATTTTACTTGTGCCCCAAAGTGACATAGAAACATACTACCTAGGGGATAACATGTGGACTAAAATGAGAAAATACTAACAAATGTCGTGTGCATATGGAACATTTATTGTAGCGGTAGTGTGGGTAAGTAAACATCAAAATCTAAAATCTTTATTTGAAAATAAAAGACTGAGAATTTTGATTTGAAGACTAAATTGATCTTTATATCGTGCTCAAATTGCAATATGGATGCTGTATTAGCTAAGATCTAGTAATTGCTGCCGGAATAGGAAAAAAAGTAGAACTGTTCCTCGCAAAGATTGAGGTAAACTGCAAGATAACAAAACAGTTATTTTGGTAGTGAAACTGCTTATCAATTAATCTTCAAGGAATGATGACTAATCTGCGCGTCTTCTGCAGAGCTTTTTGTGATACACGTGGGTTAAAATCCAATACCACTGACAGTTAGATTTACTTTTATTAGTTATACAAATGGTAGTGCAGTTGTAAGGGTATCCTAGTTCTACCAGTCAAGACGCACAGCTTCTTGCATACTGCAAATTTGGCTGGAAAAAAACGGAAAAAGGAAAACTTCATTTAGTACGTTTTTAGGTAAATAAAATTATAACTAGATCATAGTTTTCAAAAACTCATAGGTAACTGCACAAGAGATTGGGGAGGGGGGGAGGGGGGATGGTTTGCAAAGACAGAGCGAATTTTAAAACTTGCACGTTCTTGATCTTTCGAGCCGGATCTTAATTCCGACATTACCAAACATTTTACAATGAGATAAAAGGCTTGCTTCTTCAAGTGATTTTACAGAATCTTCAACCACAAAGACGTTGATTAAAAATCTAGATAAATCATTGAACCTTTTGATTTATGTTCTTTATCTCCTTGTTTCCCTTGTATTAGTGTGCCTTTTAGATAATGTAATAAATCCATTAAAAATATTGCCTCGCAAGATACCCAAAAGGAGTTAAATGAACTTAAACTGTTCTCCATTTTCATATTTAATTTGGTCATGAGCTGCTTAGACCGTTTATGACGTCAACAACACCATTAACATGCCCCACAGTGGCATGACAGTAGTAAATCAAGCTTATCTGAGTAAAAATGTTAGCCAATCAGAATCGAGAAAATTAGCAAAACTGATTGTCTTGAACTTATAGATTTCCAGGCCACGGCCAAATGAAAAAAAAAAAACAAACAAACAAAAAAAAAACAAAAAACAAA